GGGGTTGGGGCTGCAGCCGTTCATGGCTTCACAGCACAGCACTGTGTTCCCCACAGGCTGACGGTGTGCAGAGCCTGACAGAAAGGCTCACGGAGCTACTGTGGGATGCAGATGAAGAGCTGGTCTGGATGGCCCTCTCGGTATTCATCAATGAAGTCCAGGACAGAGACATCCCAATCTCCACCCCCACTGCCCTGCAGATGGCTGAGGCACTCCAGACACTCTTTGGCTACGTAAGGCTCTGTGCCCCCCACCCCAGGCGCTGGGTGCTGCCAGGAAACTGTAGCCTGTGGATTTGCAGGCCTGTGCCCCAGTGGGCCTGGAGCAGCCGGTGCTGAGGTCTTTTCCTCTTGCTTTCCATCAGGACAACATTCACATGCAGCTGCTCTCCATTCACCTCTTCCGAAAATTGTTGAAGTTGGTAGTGGAGGAGGGAAAACAACCTCTGCAGACGCATGTGATCCAGAGCCTGCTGCCACTCTTCTTCCTCTCACATGATGAGAACGAGCACCTGGCAGACGTGAGGACTTTCTGGACTCTGGTGTCCCCATGGGAGGGGGCCGGGCTGCCTCCTGCCCTGGCACCTCCCGGGCTCCAGCCTCCTCCCTCCTCCTGGTCTTGGTGCAGGGACATGGGTCCTGTGCCCTGGACCATGGTGCCATGTTCTGGTCTCTGTTGCTCTGCAGGCCTCTTGGGAAGTGCTGATTCGTGCACTCAGGTTCCTGAAGAGAAGGGATCTCAAGAACATGCTGGAGGCAGACAAGCCGTGGTGGTTCTGTGACTGCCTGGTAAGGATGGCCATGAAGGCCCAGCCCCAGGCTTGAGCAGCCCCCAGTCCCCGATGCCCAGAGTGCAGGGCTGGCACTGTGCCCCTGCCCACTGCTGCAGCCGCCCGCGGGACAGCAGCCTGTGCCCCACCCAATGCTGCCTTGCCTGGGGCGTGCGGGCTCCTCTGCAGGCTGCTCTGCCCCCGAGCCAGGCTGCCATGGAGCCCCGGCCCAGCTGGGCTGTGGGGCAGGGCGGCCCCGCGGCTGCCGGGGAGCAGCCAGCCCTCTGCTCCCTCCAAAGCCAGCCCCAGCGGCTGCTGCCCGGGCCTCAGGGCTGTGCGGGCAGGGGAGGCCAGTGCTGGGCGCAGGCAGCGCCCGGCCAAGGCAGAGCCCCAGCCAACCCTTCCCTCTGTGCCCTGCCGCTCTCTGCAGGTGGAAAGCGAGAAGAAACGAGTGGTGGAGTTCATGTGGCAGGCCCTGCCATTCCTGGAGAGCCCACAGGAGCCCCTGCAAGAGTTGGCCCTCAGGTTCATTGGTGAGCCACAAGGTCCCTCCCCGCCCCGCTGCAGCTCGGCCCCAGCCCCGGCTGCTGCAGCGGCAGCAGGATGCGGCCCAGGGATGTGCTGGGGAGCCCCGAGTGCCCTGGCGGCTGCTGCCGCCCTCTGCCAGCCCAGCCCTGGGGAGTCCCGAGGCGGGAAGGCCCCAGGCTCCCCCCAGGGCAGGAGGGCGTGTGGCTGGGCTGGAGGGGGAGCTGTGCCTCTGGGGCTCTGACAGCATCTGTGTTCCCAGGGATCGCCGGCAAGTACCTGAGAAAGGGGCAGGAGGAGGACGAGCTCATCATAGAGGTCATCATTGACAGTGAGTGTGGGCATGGGTTGTCAGCAGGGGCTGGCAGGAGGACCACAGAGCCTGGGCAGGGAGTTGCAATCCTGCCCCAACTGTGGAGGGCTGTGCTCCCTGCACGGACAGAGCAGAGAGAAGTTCCAGGGGCACAGGGGGATTGGTGGCCAGCACCATCTGGCTGATCCCGTTGGGCCCTGCTCCCTCCTGGCAGTGACAAGAGCTGGGTGGGATGGCTCTGCCAGGAGGGGCTCCTCGGGTCCCTGCAGATGCAGGCTCTGATCTTGGCTCCGTTCTTTTCTCTTCCAGCCCTTCAAGGCATGACTGCTGACAGCCCTGCCATCTCAAAGCGGGCAGCTGAAACCTTGAAAATCATCAGGGATATCCAGAAATCAAAACCTAAACCTAAACCGACACCGAAATCTAAATCCACCAGATTCCGGTAGCCTCCATTCCTCTCTGTTCCAGCCCTGAGAGGAATGACCGATGACCTCAGACTCGCCATCGCAGGCCTGGCCATTCCAAACTGTACATGCTAAGGGCTGTACAAACAGCTCCCTGCTCCAGACTCCAGCAGCTCCAAGACTGGCTCTGAAGAGGAAAATGCCTCTTTTCTGCAAGGACGGCCTTTTACACCAGTGTGGGAATATCAAATATATCTATACATCTTATGAAACACAGAGGCCCAGCAAGTTTTTTCATGCCTGGTGTCCACAAAGGGGAAGAGGGGAAAAAGGGCCCTTGTGCTCAGCAACACTTGCCCAGGTGTGCAGCGGGGAAGGGAAAGTGCCCAAAAGGCCCTTGGCCTTGGGGGGTTCTGCTGGAGCCTCAACACTTCCAGCAGAGCGCATGGCCAGAGCCTGGAGCTGTGGGGATCCCTGAGAAGCTGGTCCTGGGAGGTGGCCACAGGCCCTGTGCCAGCCGGGAAGCAGCATCTGTGGCCTGCCCGTGTGTTGCTGTCGGGATTGCTGAGGGCTGGCAGGTGCCTCCTGAGCCGGCTCCTGTGGAGCTCCTTCAGGGCTGCGCCGCTGCCGGGCCGGTTGGTGGGGCTGGGGGAGAGCCTGAGGGGACGGGGCACTGGGAGATAATAAAGGGCTGAGGTGCTGCAGAGGACCTGCCGGGACAAGGGAGTGGGAGGCCCTGAGGGGAAATTGTGAGAAGACGGAAAGCAGGAGCAGCAATTTCATTGCAGGGCTCTGAAAAGCAAACAACAGCCCTTTCCCCCAGGAAAGAAACCCTAAAACCTTTGGGTTTCAGGTGCAGTTGGTGGGCCAGCCTGGGCGCTCCATGGGCAACAAGAGCTTTCTGTGGTGGCACCTTTTCCTCGGGAGGAATCTTCATTTCTGTCGGTTTGGGGGAGGTGAGACCAGCAATTGCAGCACAGGGCTGAACAAAGGGAACAGCAACCCTTTGGCCCCAGGAAAGAAAGCCTGGAACCTTTAGCTTTCAGGTGCAGTTGGTGGGCCAACTTGGGCACTTGGTGGGCAACAAGAGCTTTCTGTAATGGCACCTTTAATCTGGGAGCAATCTTCTTCCATCTGGAATTTTGGGAGTTGGGCTGACAGTTGCAGCGCAGGGCTGATAAAAGCAAACAAGAGCCCTTATCCCCAGCAAAGAAAGCCTACAACCTTTGGTTTTCCAGTGTAGCTGAAGAGTCATCCTGGGCAGTCAGTGGGCAGCAAGAGCTTTCTGTGGTGGCACCTTTGGTCTGGCAGGAATCTTCATTTGTATCGGTTTTGGGGGGGGGGGGGG